ACTACTACTACTACTACTACTACTACTACTACTACTACTACTACTACTACTACCACTACTATTATCAATTATGTTAATTATAATGATAATAGAAATAGTAATTGCTTTTATACAGCACATATCCACTCTCTACCGAATGCTTTAAGGGCTTTACAAGTATTTTCAAATCTGTTTCCTGTATCTGAAGCTCATAAAGGAAGGCAACAACATGGATTCTATGAAATACGCGAATTCATGTTTCTGATTTGATTATTAATTATAATGTTCGAAATGTGCCGCCAGATACAGCGTTGAAAGCGACGTTAGAGACACTCGTTAAATGAGAGACGTCAGGATGAAATCAAGTGCTCTCCAAAATAATGAATTAAAAGAAATCAGCATTTTTTTCGGGCGTTTGACAATTCATTTTGCAAATTTTTTAATTTTTTTTTTTTTTTGGTTCCCTACCTTTTGTGCCTATTGAAAACACATTATTTGTGGATTTTTTTAAACTGAAAAAGTTTGTTGAAAGGTATTTTTAAAAGTAAATTGATGGTTTCTAAAGATACTCAAGCTTTGGAAGTCATTTGGCATCCGTTTCTCGCTAATTTTACATCTGACACCTGGCGACTCCTACTTCCTTTAATCGTCTTGAATAGATGAGTAATTTTTTTTTTACAAAAAGAAAGCAAAAAATAACAAGCTTTGAGGCAATCAAAATAACTTTATATGCTCCAAAAATGAGGAGCGCCTGCGATTCCACAACGTCGTGACACATTATAATAAAGTTCTGCAACATTGTATTTGGTCTGCTGCTTATCGGACGTAATCTTTCGCTTTGCCCTTAAAGAACAATATATTATCGTCTTGCATGTCTCATATCATAAGACGCGAGTTCGATTCCCATGAAGGAAAAATGTCTTGAACATCTAGCTCTCACTGGCAAAATTGAAAGCAAACGAGACAGGGGATGGAGGACATGCGTGGAAAGGGATATGAGAGAGATGAAGCTCACTTGCAACAAGCTTGGAAGGATGGCTCAGGACAGAGATAAATGGAAGGAGCTTGTATGTAGCCTATACTCTGCCAGGGGTGAAAGGCATTGATGATGAGGATGAGGCAGGGGTAGGCCAAGAGCAACCTCCTTAGAGAACCTAACAGATGAGTAACGGGGAAAGATCAGGGTATGGTAGCTCTGTTAAGAGCATCCGAACAAAGGAATGAATGGAGAACCGTGATCGCCGATGTCTGCCGCTGATCTGGCACTTAATGACGACGACGATGATGATGATGATGATGATGATGATGATGATGATGATGATGATGATGATGATGATGATGATGATGATGATAATGATAA